AAGGGCAATGAAGCTGGAGAAGGTCCTGGAGAAGAGGGCTTATGAGGAGTGGCTAAAGGAACTGAGGTTTAGTCTGGATGAGGCTGAGGGGAAACCTTATTGCTCTTTACAACTATCTGAGAGGAGGGTGTAGTGAGGTGGGGGTCAGTCTTTTCTCCCAAGTAACAAGTGATAGATGAGACGCAATGGCCTCGAGTTGCACAATGGGAGGTTTAGGGTGGGTATTAGGAAAATTTTCTTTACTGAAAGAAAGTCAAGCAGTGGAACAGGCTGCCCAGGGAAATGATGAGTCACCATCCCTGGAGGCGTTCAAAAAATGTATTGATGTGGCACTTTGGGTCACAGTTTAGTGGGCAGGGTGGTGTTGCATTGACAGTTGGACTTCAAGATCTTAGATTAGTGATTCTATGACTGTGGGGTTTTATTGAAAAAAATTTACACATCCATTTGCTCTCCACACTTTTTGCCAGGTTTAAAAAAAAAGAAAACATGATGTTGCAAATATTCATAGCATTTTCCTGTGTTGGATGAACATTTTTTATAAACTGAAAGGGAACTTTTATGAACAGATCATGTAAAATGAAGGAATGTCAGCAATTCTTAGTCATGCTTTGTGTGTCTTGAACATAGTACTAAAAGTAGTCCATTAACCTTTTGCCTTATCTCACACCATTTGGTTGACATTATGATCTAATTTTCCACGGTGTTTCATCCACCAAGAGTAGTCTCAAGTAAAGGCCCCTTAAGTAAAGGCCCCTTTGCATTGAGTCTTCCCATTAGGAAGGAGGAGGAGAGAAAACACAGGTTTTCCACAAAATGTCTCGGTACATCCAGAACATCAGTCTTTGGTCAGAGGTGATGTTCTGATGCAAGATCTGCTTGGTTAGCAACCTTTGTCTAGTGCTGCTGCAGTTCTAGGGTGAACTTTTGCAGCAAGTGGAAATATATTCAAAAATAATCAGAAAATACTTAAAATGAGCTAAGTACTAAGTGGTGGCTTCCTACTCATAAATAATTCAGTTTCCAAGAACTGAAAAATCCTGTGATTTTTCCTGTGATAAAAAAATGAAAAATCCTGTGATAATATCAGAGTGCTAAGGTAAAAATCTTTCTTCATTTATCAAGAAGTGTTATGCTTGGATTCCTGCATATTGCAGTGCAAAAGAAAAAAAACTGGAATGGTAAAGGCAGAGGGATAGTTAAATCTGTATTGAAATAGTTGTAATTCACTTCTTGTATAGTTAATGGACAACATTCATTTTTAACAACATAAACACACAATTTCCAGGCAGAAAAAGAGTATTTATTGTACTTAATACAGCAATAGATAAGAAAATATCCTACATGTAAAACTACTGAAGGCACATAAGCTTTGGTCCAATTTTATTCGTGTCCCCCATCCTCCTGGAATAAAACCCTGAAGCTAGATAAATACCTTAGAAATTTTCCACTCTTTCTTGAAATAACTCACAATTCCCAACTGTTAGGATTTGCTTTGAAAAGAGCAGGCAAACAGTCTTGTATATAGCAAACATACCTTCAGAAGACAATTAGAAGATAAAAGTTGGAAGAAAAAAATTCTATGCAATCTGACCAGTATCCTTTGAGCACAATGGTAACGACACTGATTCTGGTAGTTCTGCTCTAGTTAACAACATAGCAGACCAAAAGTAAAGGCAAAACAATGCTTTTTGTAAGCAGTTGACCTCTCATTTGAAATACAGCAGTATAAGCTAACAGTACACAATGACAAGTAGTAGGTCCACATTGCTTACAAAAAAAAGCACTTATCACTTTCTTACAAACACAATTGGAGAAGGGCAAGGTATTTGATCACACAAACCACACTGGCAGTATTCTCAACAAAGATGAGTAGTGTTCTCTGCATATACAGGCTTGCCATCTGTAGTCAGAAAATGTCATATATAGGGAAATCTCCTTAGATATGTGGAATATCTTGGGTATAAAAAAGAACCTCAGTCCATCAGTGCACAAAAAAATGAAACTGACAGGACCAGCAGACAAGGCAACCAAGTCAAATTAAGAATCAAATTTTCATGAATTTGTTCTGATGTTCAAACACATTTGAAGAAATTCAAAGAAACAAAAGTTTTACCATTATGCAACAAATCACTAGTAAATTGAAAAGGCACTAAGCTGCCCCTGTGTTGTTAAAAAGGCCTTACTATGTTTTGAACCAAGTGTGCAGCCATCAATAAAAAAAAGTGGAGGTAGAGGTAGCCCAGAGCTGATTTGCGGACTTCACATACACAGAGAACTCTACTCTCAACCATTTCTAGTGACTGCAATCAGGATATATCCACTAGTGTTTTAGAGTACAAGTTCTGCGTTACACTATGCACGTTTCCAGGCACTTCACAGATTATTTAAACAGAAATTAAGAACCTATATTAAAGAAATTATGAACCTATCTTTAACAACTTAAGGCTACAGTATAGAGACAATGGATCCAGAATGCATGTACTGCTTCTGATATTACATGTGCCAATAGTAGCTCTCAAATTTAAGGTTCCTTTTTTCCTGCTTTAGAGTTACATTCAGATCTAACATGATTCCTCTCCTCCGTAGCTGTAATTCTTAAGAAAAATGACAAGGCATATTTTATGGATAATGGCCTAGTATTATCAAACCAATTTATATGCAGTAAACAAGGAACATTCCCAGTCCAGCAAGATTCTTTTTAACTGATATTCATGTGACTATGAACATGGTAAAACACAGACATGAGTTAGAATTAAATATCTTGGTGAAAATGGGCCTATGCAGATGAACAAGCCTGGTTACAACTGCACTTTGTTAAAATCATAAGTGTGGAACTTTTTAATATGGTGCTCTGGACTACACAATTACATCTTTTCATGAATTCAGAAGAAAAATATTTGGTTTCAAACTTCAAACTGAATTAGCTATTTCAGAAAGGACAAAATGGAAAGACTATCTCAAATCCCAAAGATAATATTGTCTATCTTTCTAAGCCAATTTAACTTTTCAGTAAATAGTACATTCTGAATGTTTATTTATGTTGTACAGCACTTATTATAGCTACATACGTATTTAGTCAGCATTTTATCTACTGTCAAATAGCATACTTTTGTGGCAGTTATAGAGATCTGGCACCATCTTTACTATGATTGGCTGCTGCACTTCTAATTAATTTGCATACATTAAAAGAAAACAAGTTAGTATCTTGCTGATTTTGCAAAAATAATTCAGAGAGAGTATCTGAAAAAGCTTCTTCCAGGATGCTCAGATCATGGTAGAAACACATCGTTTCTTTTGGAAAGAAAAAAAAATCATACAATTCACACAAATTAATGAAAAACCAAAATGAGGAAAAAGTTGTGGAGTAGTTAGAAGTAAATAAATGCTATGTTTGAGTGGAATATGTCTTTAAAAGGTGGTTAAGTAAATACTAGAAAGAAAAATCTCTTAAATGAAATTTAACTTTTTAAGATACAATCATAAGTCACTAGAATTCATGTGTACTTTCAACACCAAAACTAAGGGGTCATCTCAGCTCATTCTCCAAAGAGAAATGGAACATTCAGTATCAAACATTTTTTCATACTTAGGAAGGAAAGAATTATAGATCTTAATTACTTGAAGTTTAATACTGGGAGAAAAATGCAGGAACCCAGAAGAAAATATTCTGATACAGCCAGCCTCTCAAAAATTTAGATAGTGCAGAAACTGGAGTGAATTTCCTGTTTGGTCTTTCTGTATAGGTTTTTTTTTTTAGTGGATTTTTCTGAGTATGAATTTTTTTCAGCCAAGTACTGATATGAGACAGCTATAACCAGATGAATTTGAAGAATGAATCCCTACATGATTATACCATGAGTTAAACCCCGTTCCTACCTCTATGCAATCTCTATACAAAAGCACACGACTAGCACTAAAAGTATCTTTACCAAAAAAATATTTTGAAGTAGCGAGGAAAACATTTCCAAGAAGGCCAAGAACAGCATTTTCAGAAAGTCCACAACATGTTTTTCAAGATACTCCAGGTGAAACTCTAAGCTATTGTATCATCAGCACGTAGTAAGGCACATAAGAAAATAAGTAAATATATCAGTAATTTAAGTATTAGACATTATAGTGGTATAAAAAACTCTTGAAGTTTAATTTTTTTTGCCCCCAAAGATGACCTTGACAAAAATAACTTCTTAAAAACTTGTCAAACCATCATAGACCTGAGTATTTTCTATAAGATTGTAAACACTTTATTCTTTAAAGAAATAAGTGTAGAAATTCTTTGAAATCAGGACTATTTTCTTGTCTTATTTTCTCCAAAGTACTATTATACATCACTTCATGGTAAAAATAAGACAAACTTCTATTTCATGGTTATGTCAAGCTAAGCCTCTAATACCACACCTTGAGGAAACTTGTCAAATATCTCTCACCCCACAGAGACAAAGCATTACCTTTTCTCTGATAATGTAACCCATGTTAACAGCACAGACTTTTTGGTTTTGAAAAAAGTTATTTGCAAAGATTTGCCAAAGTATGAACACACCCTGGTAACATAAATACTATTTAGAGGACACTCACAGTCAATGCTTGCTTTTCTTCAAGAAATTCAAGAACTATTTCACATTCAAATTAGTGTTTAATCTGTATAGAGTAGATTTACCGTTTTGTTAGAGATACTCTTTTGGTTGGTATGTTTTAAAAGCACTCTGAAGTGTTTTGTAAGGCTGATTTTGACAAAAGCTAAAAGGATGTTCTCAAATTATAATTTTAAGCAGGAAATTTGATGATAAATATTGTTGTTAAAGCAATTTCCCAGGAAAATCTTTCTACAGATGAATCAAACTTCGATCACATACTGGCAGCTAAGATCAGAAAAGATCATCACTTAATTCTTTGTGTATGAATGACCTTTTTCTTTAAGATACAGAGCCGGTCACAACTGTGGTGTTTGAAGATTTTACGAAAACTGTGATGCAGTCTTAAAAGGAAAGTTCACAGAAAAATCAGATTATAGATTTTGAGAAGGAAATTCGGAGGTAATGGTTTTCTCCAAGGTCATGATTGTGAAGCATAATGAGAGCGTGAATTGCTTCTTCCACAGAGCCCAGCCGGACAAGAGCCATTGTGCAATCTCTCCTGAAGTACAAAAAAAAACCCATTATAAATCCTAACCAAATTTTCATTGCAATACCCAACACAGAAAAGTGTCACAAGTATTTTTTCAGCCACATCACTCACACTGAACACTTGTATAGTGAAAGAATGAGAACTAGTTATGCACCTGCTAAAATGAGGAGATAACAGAACTAAACAAATTTGGCAGATCAATGGCCTACTCTTTTTACAGTACACCACACTCCAAAAACCAGGGTCGAAATAAGGCTTGAAGACCTCTAAGAAACACTTGCATTGTCCATATATATGTGATTATTTGGGGTGGTATGATCATGCTAAAATAATGCTGCCAAGCAACTTTAACGAATATTAACAGCAGATTCATTGTCATCTTTTACATGACATTTTACATGTATACAGCTTATATTTCTTTTAAAGTAGTGAGTATTTACTTTCCTTGAAATTATCTTAATTTGAACACGTGGAATTTGTCAAACGCCTGAATGTTTTTAATTTCATTATGCCAACATAGTATCCCACTTAAGATTTTAAGATTAGAATTATCATAAAAATGGTCATAGCTGTAAGATTTTGCCTGTAGATACATACACATAGAGCTTTGCCTATAGTTATACACACATGTAATCTCCCCAAAAAGCAATTAGCCATTTTCCAGCATAAAGGCTTGCTCAGCATTTTTACAAGAGTACTTACGGGAAGAGTCTGAAGGCTTTTACAGTAAATCCCGTACTTCTGAAAAGGTTCTGCAGAACATCAACAGTAACGGAAGGCCTATTTAAAAACAAACCAAACAAAACCGAAACAAAAACCTCAACTTGTAAAAGCACACAGAGTTCCGCAATAGTATCGAAATCTCAATTCTGGCTTCTAAATTAAATTTGAATAGCAAAAACTATCTCCAGCAACTCGAGCCATGTCAACACTTAAGCCTAAACCTCTTGGCTTTGACACCAAGATTTAGCACCACAGTCTGCTACAAAAGTATTTCAGATATACTCTACTGCTTTTCATCCTCTCACATTCCCCTCTCAGTTAAATTCAGATTGCACAAAAGTCACTGAAGATCTTAACTGGTACCTTCAGAAACACCTTTCATCTTGTTATTACTGTAAATGTGCTTCATACATTTTCAATTTTGAAAGTTTTCTATTTTACTCAAAAAGCCATATTCCAAGTGTGTTTTTTTATCTTATTTGGACAAAATTCCATAGTTTTCACTTTTCCCTCACTGCACAGCTGCTGAACAAAATCTTGTTTGGCTGTCATTCCAGATGTTGTTGACAACATTCTAGATAGGGAGAATGGTTGTTTCAGTTTTAAAGAACATGCTTCTTAATACTTTCCTTTTAAAACAACTTCCCCTCTATGTAAAAGAACTGTGTAGAAACTATTCTTTTAAATGTGTTAGAATAATTAAAAACTGTATGTACATTAAATAACGATGCCAATGATGACTTTGATGCAATGTAAGTCCAGAACATTATCTCAAAAACATGTCTTCAATCTGCAAAAATTTGTAACACAGGACTAAGTATGTGAAAAACAAAAGTGTATTCTTAAGAAAATGTAAACTGTGTTAAAACTCAAAGAAGAGCATTCAATCAATTATCCTCTTTGCTAACAATAACTAACGAGTTAAAGGACTCGTTTATTGTTAATTACACAGCAGAATGACCAAATTTCTCAGGAAATGTAGAAGGACAAGGAAATTTAAAGCTTATGTCAGACTTCGTAACTTAAGGACATAACCTAAAAAACATCTTTCCAAGAAGATCACATATGTGGATACTCACGGGATGCTGGAGAGATGCAGAGTGGCAGATGGCGGACAGATATTTTGGAAGTTTCTAGAGCCAGGATTCTTAAAGCGATGAAAAGGGCTATTGCTATAATCCTTCGTCAGACCTTGGTCCTCTTGTCCATCACGAGGAAGTTGAACTGTCTGATATTTTGAATAAGTAGCACAGAGGGCCCTTCCATAAAGCTTCTGTCCATTCAAGTAGGTGATAGCTAACCAGTGGAAATACAATTGGAATAGGAATGAAGGGAGGGGAAACAAATAGGATTCTTTGAATACTGTTTTCTATTCAGTGTCAGGTTTCACATTCTAGATTTATACTGCAACTTCCATCTCTACCAGGTGGGCTATGTCATAACATTATATTTAAAACAAGTAAAAGGATGCAACATAACCTAAAGACTAAATAAAACAAAAATGCAAAACAGCATTACAGTAACAAGCAGTTGATTATTCTTAAACCGCTAGATATAGGATAAACTCCAGGAAAATTGACAACATTCTAATTCTAACATATACTAGATTGAGATTCACAGGATTTTTTTTTAAAACCAATATAGGAAAACAATTTGTTTACGTGAATGTAAACAGATCATTATCAATATATATAAGGAAAACTTTGTACATAGTAAAGCATCACAATGATGGATTTAATTTGTTTGTGCTTCTCACTGACAGATAGCAAATTCTGCATCTATAGCATACTCACAGTAGCTTGAAGCATAACTTCAAGCCTTAAAAATCAGTACCTATTTGAGCCTGTCTTGCATCTGCCATCTGAACCAAAGCATTTTCTTTTCTCTTAAACATGATTTTCACACGATGCACATCACCATAAACACCTGTGGAAATCCAGAAAGGAAATTTGTTCAGAGCATTACTACAAGCATCACAAGAGCAAGTCTATTTCTTTCGACTAATATTAGTGTTACAAAGAATAACCACCTTAGACTAATAGTATGAAACAGAGCTTTAAAGTTTGTGTATTATTTTCTGAGGCTCAGAAATGGGGGGAAAAACACCAGGATCTTAGTCATAAAACTGCATGTTTACATTCAGGTTTTAAATAGTGCAACAGTGTTAAAGTCCTCTTAACAGAGGCATATTAAAATATTATTATTCTAACAAACACTGTCCCTTGCAGTTAATGCATGTGCCAATTCTGTACTCCACGTCATCTGATGCAATCTTTGCTTTTTCATCTTACTTTGCTTTCCCATTTTTTGTAGTAAACAAACTGGACCACACACTGAAATTCTTCTGATGCTGTAACGATTTTGCCTTTTTGGTACCTGTGGCCTACAACTACTGACTCAAATTACTGTCATTTTAAAACCAGCACATTCTCTTGTGCATTTTCTGGACAAGGACAGAACAATGGAGCTTGCATTAACCAGCATGTGTCAGATAAATGCAAAGAACGCTAGCCCTGTAGTTTCTCAAGGTGTATTTGACGTATCTTACCAAATAGGATGAAAAGTCCATGTGGTGTGATGGCCTGTTTAAATGATAAAATGAGTATATTATTCTTAAAGCCATGCAAATAAAGAAATCTATGCCATAAGTGCATGGTACAAAAACAATGGAAGAGATACTGCACACTAATACATAAACCTGTCTTTCCAAAAGCCATTCCCTCTAATAACTACAGAGTATAGCATTCTTGTTAATATATATTTGCTATGCACATGTGAAACATTTAAATAAGCTAACACTTCAGCTCATGCATTTTCATCACTCAAGACAGACTGTCATGACAAAGAAGTTATTAATATTTTAAGTGGCTTAATTATTCGAACTTATTCTTTTCAAGATAGTAGTCCATTCCCTGAAGAAGACAGACATTTGCTAAACTAGAAAAAGAAAAGAGAACTCCTTTGTATTTTCTAAACAGCAGACAACATCTACAAAACTGAAAACAGTTGATTCAAGATGTGTTTGCTTTTCTTCAACTTTGTCCCCATCTCTGTGTGTGACTGCAGTGGGTTTGCATGGCAAGGTTTTGGTAGCAGGGGAGTTACAGGGGTGGCTTCTGTGAGAAGCTGCTAGAAGTTTCCCCTATGTCCAATAGAGCCAATGCCAGCTGGCTCCAAGACAGACTCACTGCTGACCAAGGCCGAGCCCATCAGCAACAGTGGTAGTACCTCTGGGATAACCTATTTAAGAAAGGGGATAAAGTTACTGCACAGGAGCAATTACAGTTGAAGAGAGAAGTGAGAATGTGTGAGAGAAACACCCCTGCAGACACCCATGTCAGTACAAATGGAGGGGGAGGAGGTGCTCCAGGTGCTGGAGCTGTGATTCCCTTGCAACCTGTGGTGAAGACCACAGTGAGGCATGCTGTCCCCCTGCAGCCCATGGAGGTTAATTTGAAATGTGTACCAAACAACCTAAATTATTTAAAACCAGAAGATACTGCAGCCCAAGTGTAAGCCATGCCCTTTTATCAGCAGCATTTTGGAATAAAGAATAACATAAATGTAAAATGTAAATGTTTCTGGAGTTTATCCTTCTAGCCCAGATATTTTAATTCATTTCAACACAGTTTATTTAAAGAAATTTCTTAACCAAATGAGACTGCAATATTTCTACTAAAAATGTTTTTTGGAAGACAAAATCAGCTAATTTAGAAGTCAGGAAGGAATGTCCAAATGCACACTGAAACCCTGAAACAGGGGAGAATTATAAGTTGAAATAAGGTCAACCAGATTTTCTATACACAGAAAAAGAAGTGACAGAGCTCAGACAACCACTACCGAAGAAGTGTTACACAGCTGCCAAGGAACGCATTTACAACAATTTATATTTCCAACAATTAATGCTGTTGTACATTCTTATTTTTTACCTTTAAGAATTTGAACAGCATTTAATGCATTTATGTTGTATCATGCATTGCAGCAGAAAGTTCTACATGACAACTTCTTAGATATGATCAGTATTAAGTAAAGCAGCAACATCCTAAAAATAGCTTTGACCTATGCTTCACATATGCTTATTCTTAAAAAACCACAGTCTTTTAAGGCTCAGAGAATCATCTTGAATAGTCAGCTGCAAAAGCACACCCACAGCAATCACCAGAAATCAACTAATAAGATATATTGACATATCAAAGGAAAATTGACTTGTCTTACAGTCCTAATCTGTAGCTGTTTCTTTTGATGCTTACTGTGGAATTCAGCTATTAGTACAAAAATGGAAACACAGCAATTACTTAAAAGTACAAAGGAACTGCTCAACAGATTTTTAAACGTCAGTAATATGAAGAAAACTTCCATTTTGCCAATAACTCCTAATTTTATCAATTTTATGGTTAAGTCACCCTAACAAGTGTGTAAAATAAGCAAGAATTTTATGTTGCTGTAAGAGAACTGCTTATCAACAGTCAGGTAGAATTGTGTTTTAAGCCATGGCCTTGGGAAAGCTTAATTTTTAAAGAGACGTACATTGCTTTTAATTAAGCACAGATCAACTGCATAATATCCGAGTAACAGGAGTAAGCTTGTAGAACAGTCTATTTCCACTATAAAAATAACTATCCACGTTGTCCTTGGCAATTTTACCGACAACATATGAAAAAAATCTGTGTGGTACTATAGACAGTGCATGTGGATATTTATTAACTTTTAAAAATGGATTTACAGTGATGTCAATAGCAAAGTGCACCTGTGTTGTTCTTCTCCAACCTGGGAAAACTTGCAAAACTAGAACAATCCTATCAATGTTTTGAAAATTACTTGGTTTGGCATGCTTTTATCTCCTTTTCTTTTCCCTCCTGTTTCTCTCACTCCTCATGTTTTGTAACAATGAAAAATTCTTTGCTTCTCTAATGATAAAGTAACACACAGAGGCATCCCATTAACAGAGATACCAGTAACTTTAGTCATAATATGTCATCTACCTCTTCAAACATTTCTCACGTCTGACCATAGACTTCTCTAACTACTAGCTACACTGCTAACATAGGTTTCCTAAAGTAAATTGGGTTAGGAAGCTTTTCACTGCTGACTGAAGTTTTTAAAGTCATCAATATCGCAAACTATCTCAAAGAAGGATAGAGCTGTCCTATTTTTTATATTATTAGCATAGAGATTTCCTCTCTTATTCCTTCAGCTAATGTCAATTTGCAAGAAGGATTCTGGCAGTTGGTACAAGTTAATACTTGCATCAGTTCCACCAATCAAACTTACTTCAGGATTGAGGTTGCTGACTAGTAAAACAGAATTTTCCGGAGCACCAGTAACATAGGGAATAGTTGTCTGCCCAGATGCTGCACATGCGGTGACTGTGAAAGGATCATGGACTCCAGCAACAGCTGGAACCGAAAGACCTGGAAGGGTATCAATACCATCACTTGACATCTCAAAGTGGAAGAGACATTTTAGAAGACATAAGCAGGTTACATCTGGCAAAAACCCATCAATATTCAATAAAAAAATGCTGTTAAGGAATTCAGTTATTTCTAGTACGTGATCAATAAAGCAGGAAGCACCTCCTCTCTAGAGACGAAGAAATATTCAGCTGCACCAACAGATTCAAACAAACAGGAATGTAAATTGCAGCCCAAGAAAGAAGAGGAATAATTTAGCACAGAAGTTTATGCTGTGCTAGAAAGAAAAAGATCACTGAGTCTAGAAGACTATTTATTTCTCATTTGATAGCCAGAAAAGGGGACAACCTGCTTTAGCTTTGAATGTCACCAAAACCTTGCAATTCTTAGAAAAACAGATGTCTAGTTTCTTCTCTTGCAGTTAATCTTCATCATGGCATTTAATTTCTTCACCTATTAAATGATAAACTATATCTGCATATGTTTTTTGTTTCAGAAAGTAATTTTACAGATTAATATGAAGAGAGAATCAGAATGACTCAAATGAACTTTCTGTTCTGACTTCTGTATTTGAAAACAATTTGCTCTGAACCCAGCTGTATTCACTAGCCCCAAATGCAAACACCACAATTTTAGAAAACAGAAACTCACCAGCACCTTGAACAAAACCCACGGTTGGCACAAACCCTGCATATGATGGGATGATGATATTTTGAGGGCCTAGAGTGAGTAGACACAATTAAAACAGATTTAAAAATTTTTAGAAAACAGAAAGAGACTTCAGCTAAGAGAATCAGCTTCCAGTGTTGCTATACTGACTTCAGTCCATGATTAAGTCTTTTATAAAACGTTTCAGTTACAAATTCTCATTGAAATCCAAGATTCTATGTTTTACAAAGACAATTTTCAGACACTATTGAATGCAAATATTCCGATCAGCTTCAATGTTCCTCTCTAAAACAAAGTCAGAGCAAAATGTAATTTAGACAAGTTTGAATAAGAAAGCACAGCATAGATTAGTGTCCATTAAAGTTAAGATACCTGTGGTGTTATGTTCAACAGTTTTTATTCACGCAACAGAGATGCATTCTAGAAGTTTTCTGGGTCACAGAATCATAGAATCATTTCGGCTGGAAAAGACCTTTAATATGATAAGTTCCAACCATTATCCTAACACTGCCAAGCCCATCACTAAACGAGGTCCCTAAGCACCACATCTATATGCCTTTTG